AATAGAAGCGGCAACACCGCATTGTCGAAAATATTTTAGTTGGCTAGAGAATGTCCGAATATGCCCTCCATTAAATTTTCAAAGTGATCCGTTGTCTGGTTCACCAGAAACGTCTAATGTGCCATCCACCGTGAATCAGCCTGTATATCATAAGTTACTAAAATACACTTGAAACCAGTGTACCGCTGTGTAAACTCTGATTGGATCCCAACTGCGGGAAGTGAGACCTCATTAATCCTTACCTTGCACAAGTTTCGACTTCTGATAATTGTTCTTTATATAGGAGTGATAGCCTAGCTCTCTTTCGTAAAATAAATGTCGAGGTGATATCGACATAAATTCCCGAAAATTTGGCACTATAAGAGATTATACTCTGGAAATAACTGAAATATACAGTCGTTGCTACGTTGAAACTCACTTCATTTTTCATAGTTTGCATTGCATATGTGGCACTAGATAGATTTTCATTCATCTCTGCATTTTCCTCAACATTTTGAAGTAGGTCTTGTTTCGCTGTGAAATCATTTCAGAAGACAGACATCCTTTCAATAATAATGATGAGAATTTACTGATGAAAAACGGAATCTCAACCAGAACTACCCGTATTGAGCAAATATTGGAAAATTCATATCACATCGTGTCTGCTCATTCGCATTCCACTTCCGAAGAGTAGACTTCTTTTCAGTCATATCTGAGACAGTAATTAATAACGTTTGCACAATTAGATTAGGTTTTTCTATTAATTAAATTGCCTACCTCGGCTGGGCTACGTGATCAATATTTATCTTGCTTTACTGGTGCGTCAGAGGTTTTTCATATTCCTGTTCTTTATCGAATTCTTCTCTTATGGTATGCAACCACCATGCGAACACTGGGTTATTGGTTCTCATAAAATTCCCATATATCTTTGATAAAAAAATGAACTGACGTATTTACTACTGAATTTACAGGGTGTTTCTCACTGAATTTATGTCCTGAAGGGTGATGAATTTCAAGAAAACTTTATTGATAACTTTAAAAACTCTTCAATATTTTCCAGTTGCGCAACTTCAAAAAAATGAAAAATGTGATGGAGAACATTCACCTGTGTAGGACGGGAAAACTTCTGGTTCTTTACGATAAGATACTACTTAAATTTAATATGTTTATGAAAGAGAAATGTTCTAAGTCTGAGAAACTTGTCGTATGGTGGTTATGCATTTAAGGCTTTCTTCTAGCTATGCACAGAGCTGACTGTACACGAATTGAAGTGCCGTCTAGTTTGTGGGTCAGCTGGAATGCTCCTTGACACAATCGTTTTCAAAACCTCTGTACGTCTAGGTGACCGTAAAGAAAACTTTTGGCAAAACGTTTCTGCACGATTTTGTTTTGGCTTACATCTGCATTCATAATTGTTTTGTATCAGAAGTAAGTTGGTGAGTCATTCAAGAATGAAAGAAATAGCAAGGGACCCAGTGAGTCACCTTGAGGTATGCTTTTTTTGATAACCTGCCGCATGTTTGACACATCTATTCAACTTGTGTATTTTTATACATTGTTTTCTATTTGCGAGATACGACCCTGAGATGATACACATTATCGAAAGCTTTCGACAAATTCCTTAACAGAGGAATTTATAAACTTTGATAAAAGATAATTTGTAAAAGCTGTCCTAAATTTATTGAAGTTTTCTATATTTCCCAATATTTTTGTTGCTTTGTTAAAACAGATGACACCTTGATAGCTTGCAGAGTCCTGCCCGATGGTCAACCGTGAATATTGTAGCCTCAGTTCATAACCCCGACGAGTGTTGTATGCATGTATCATATTTTGTTTTGTGAAGAGGGACACATTTTTTTTTATATTTAAAACTAATAATAATATATAGAGTGATGGCAGCGTCAATATACCCAATTTAATAAAAGTGTTCTTACATGATTCTCTGTGGTGTGAGCCAGCAATATATTTTATTATTTTTTTTTGCATTTTGAATACTTTTATCGAGTGTGCTGAATTTCCCCAAAAGGTTAATCCATAGGATATAATAGACTGTACAAGTCCAAAATAGGCCAACTTGAGTACTTGATGAGATACTGTTCCACGTAGTTGCCTGAGTACAAAGCAAATACTACTTAATTTGGACGTCAAATAGTCAGTGTGTTTTTCCCAGGTCAATTTTTGGTCAATTATCAAACCTAGATACTTATATTGCCCTAACTGCTCTATATACCTATTATTTATTTTTATTAGGGGACAGTAGTCTAACGAAACGTTTTTTTGTTGATAATTCGTGAAAAAGGTTTTATTACTATTGACTAGTAGACCATTATTTGTACACCACTGGATCTATTATTCACGAAACCATTCTGGAAGTTGCTTAGAATACCATTTTTTTAGTAAATTTTCGATTCTGGGGCAAATTATTCTCTCTAAAAAAAGAAAATATCGTTTGTGTTGCCTGATTTACGAATAGGAACCAAAAAAGCATATTTAGGAATATCTGGAAATTTTCAAGTTCCAAAGTACAATTTGATTAATCTAAAAAGAGCCCCTGCCAGAACTTGCGCATATTGATTCAAGAGTTTAATTGGAATATCGTCTGCTTCTACAGATACTGCCCAGGTTCAATTGATACATTTTTTATATATGTCAGTGGGTTTTTCAATTTATGTTCAATCAATTTCAGGGTTTCGGTTTCTAGTTAGCCTATTGCAGGCTCTGGTGCAGGTGTTTTCAGTTGCAGACCCAGGACAGAGATATCAACCTGCCTAGGGACCTACGCGGCTGTATTTCAAACGCTTTTGATTTGTGTGCTGAGAGATTGGAAGAGTCCAACCTCACCAACCTCATACACAAGTCTATAAAAATATTATCAAACAGTCAAGCGGCATTGGAAGCTCTTGGCTCCTAAGGAGCAACGTCTAAATTGGTAGCCACTTGCCAAAAACGACTTTCCTCGATAGGAAGACTGGATTCCTGGCCTCACTTGTCTGGAACGCAATGAGGCTGCTGACTCCTTCCCAAAGGAGGGTGTTGCAAGCAGCTTGGTCGGCTCACTCCAAGACGTTCATACACTCTTCGAAGCTTGAAACCAAACAGTTGTTGGACTACAGTAGGGATGAACTACAATTTTCTACAGGCCTCTTCACTGGTCATTGTTGTCGGAATTATCGTGTGCAGAGACTCGGACTGTCGGAAGACAGTGTATGTCGCCTCTGTTTGAAAAATGATGAAACAGCAGAGCCTATACTTTGTGTCTACTTCACTGTGGACCGAATTCGGTTTTCACAGTTTGGCAGAGCCGCACTTTTACTATCTGATCTGAAAAATTGTTCACCATATAAACTAATCGGTTTCGTTAAGAAGCTGGGTTTATTTGTCCGAGTGAATAGATGTGAGCCACAATAAACCCTTGCGGGTTGCGGTGGAAGGTCGAATAGACACACTCAATTTTGACCTAACCTAACCTAGTCTATTGCAGAAGATTTTTCATATTTTGAAGTGGAGGATTTGTAATAAATAGTACGACAAAGAATCAAATGAAAATTATTCGTTTAATTACTCCACAATAAAACAAAATCAATAAATTAAAACGCTGGATTTAAATAAAAATGATCACATGACACAATTTCAAACTCTTAATTTTCTAGCCTCCTCAACAATCCCTTTATGGTACTCCTCAGAAAAGTCTCTTTTATCACCAACTTTATATCCTACTTGCATTTCAGCTTCGTGAAAATCATCATCAACCCTTCTCTCCATTTCCTCTATACCAGAAAGATCTATCGCCCCGAAACCTGTCTGAACAACATGTTTCAATGTTTGAATATTCCCAGATCTCGCCATTCTCGGCTTGTCGTCCAAAATGGCGTCTTTGTGGAAACCGTGCAGGTGCTTGACTTTGAACTGCCCATCATCTACGTCAGAAATCTCATTCGTTTCCTGAATATTGATACCGTGGATTTGTTTGGTGGGTCCGTAAGTCTTCACTTTGGAATGGCCTTGGATAATAAGGTACAACGGACCCTTGAGGGGCTCAACTGGTTGTTTGTAGTGCTTGAATAAAGGATCGGTGGTTAGAGTAGCTACAGTTGTTGGTGAAGCTGTGGATGACGCTGGGGTCGATCTGATGGTACTCTGTTTTTCTGTGGTTTCTCCATCAAGTGAGTTGTTGACATTGATCGGCGTCCCGGGAGTGGTAGTTTCAAGCGCAGACTCTGTTGGACTATATCTAAACAGCAGAGGCTTCAATCTTTCTTCCTGCAAAACTTTAGTGATTGAACTAGTGACTTTGGGGTAAACAGGACTCTGCGTGACTGGAGGCGGATGCATTGTCTGCATATCTTGTAGTTTTTCCACAGTCAGTGGCGGTAGTCTAGCTTCTTCAGACATTCCATGTGGAAACATCACCAAGTCGTGAGATATAATCGGCAAACCATCCATACCGAGTGCAGTGGAATGAACTTCCGCTTCCGGTTTCCCAATCTTCACGTAGGTGTTGGAGATATCAATGTTATCGTCCGCAACTTGACCTTTGAACATTATCTCTTCAGTGGCGGCGTGTGCCAGCGGCGGAGGGGTGACGAAGTTGATATTTTGACTCTCAGCAGCTACAAGGGTGTGAGTAGTATTAGTGTAATTACGGGGAGCGAACTCCGCATGCATGTATGACTCAGGGGGTGATAAATTGGTGTTGTAGACTAACGCATCTCTGAAATTCGAATAGGGATTTTCTGTGGTATGAACGTCTTGCTCCCAAGCCACTGAAGGATCGATGGTGTAATGTTTGTTTTTCCACTCACTTTGATCACTCAAACTGCTTGAGTGGTAGATCAGATTCGCAGCTTGCACTGTTACAGAAGAGGACGAGCTGCTTTTCGAAGGCGTCGTTGGAGTGGTATTGAGCAATGTAAGGGGAGTTTGTGTCACGATAGTCTCTGGAGATTTTGGTAGATAGTCCAATGGGACTGGAGGAGGCATGAGTACTGTATATGGAACGCGTTGATCTATTTCCTTTGAGAAACCATTTTTGACAGGGAACTGCTTTTTTGTAGGGGGATGGAAAGAGGGGAAAAATGACGAGGCAACTGGTGGGATGAAAGACGGTCTCGCAATTCTCTGATTCGGATTCAAGTTTGATTTGCTTTCTTCAACATATTTCAAATACGGATCATATATGTCTTTCCTAGAGTCAGCATGGGGGGAAGAGTTTGCAGGTTTCTTTGAAGTTATCCCAAGAAGGAGGATTTCTGTTTTCTGGTTCTCAGTGGAGATGGATGAATCTGGTTTTCTCAAGGCTGGATCCACCCAGTAGTGAACCCGTTCCAGAACTGGAGGGACGTAGTCATAGGTGGGGTCGTTTTGTAAAGGGTCGCCCCTGCCGAGTGGTTTCCATTGGTCATAGTCCATTCTAGGGGAAAACAATCCACGATTATTTTTCTCTGAAACAAAAAATGAATATTTATTGAGATATCATTGAAAGTATCTTGAAAATTATAGAAAGAATAGATGTAGTAGAAAATTATAGACTCTAAAGACAAGATGTTAGATAATGAAAAGTCGGAGATGTGTGAAAAAGCATCGAGGATATCGGTCAGGCATAGAGAATCTTTAGAGCTTCTTTCAAAGAACACGCAACATGTATACAATTTTCAAGACTAGAAAAATCTGGTGTCGCTAAACGGGTCAAGATACCAACTTGATTAGTGAAACGCGCGTTGGGAAGAGTATTGAGTTTCTGGTGATTGGGAAAACGTGCCTGTTTTTCATTTATGTAACGCCAGAGATTTCAGTTTTACCTTTCATTTTAGAATGCACAAATGAAAATTTTCCTTCATGAAATTACACATATAATCGCTCGATGTTTGGAAAGATCGATCTATTAACGTTTTTGAATTCTCAATAGAGTCTCAAGAGAACTCGGAATCGTTTTTTCAAGACTGTTTTTCTCTAAATTTGTTTTTTAATCCGCTCCACAGAACTTCGATTTTTTTATCACATATTAGAATATCACTGAGATGAATCTCCGTTCGAAAATAAGTTTCAGCAAATGTATTTACCATTGACTAATTTTTGCTTACTTCAAAAGTTATCCAGTTCATTAGTCCAGGGGTCTCCAAACTTTGAAGCCTTCGGGCCATAATGATTTTTTCAGTTTGTTCCAAAGGCCAATTTCTGCCCTAAACTATATTTCTAGATTAGGATATTCGTAGGGGGCTGTAGAGAATCAATCATTCCTCAGAGCCGTAGGGGACTGTGTGGCATGGTTAGTTGTTAGAAACGCAAGTTTCTAAATGCACCAAATGGATTTTCCATTCTTGATATTGATAGTATTCACGGCACGACAACTGGGGCAGATATTTTTAAGGGAGTTGAAAATGCCATTAACAAAAAGAACCTTCGATGGAGAAATTTGAAATCTATAACAACTGATGGAGGCAAAAATATGTATGGTAAAAATAAAGGAGTGGTTGCACTTGTGTCAAAGGCTGTAAGAAATGATGGTGGTTCAAAACCATTAGTCTTACATTGTATCATTCATCAATAGTCCTTGTGCGGAAAATGTTTGGATATGTCTGAAGTTCTAAAACCAGTCATATCAGTTGTTAACTTCATCAGATCCACTGGGCTGAATCACCGACAATTCCGCGAGTTTATTCAACAGATTGGAGAAAATGATTTACCATATCATACTGCCGTACCCTGGCTTAGTTGCGAAAAAGTCCTTAAGCGCTTTTTTGAACTTCGAGCAGAGATCGAAATTTTTTTAAATGAGAAGCAGCGCCCTTTTGCCGATTTAAAAATAGTGAATGGATGTGGAAGTTAGCCTTCTATGTCGATTTGACAAATCATATGAACGGACTGAATTTGAGAATACAAGGAGAAAATCAGCTTCTCCCTGATTTAAACACCAATATCAAATCCTTCAGGCAGAAAATAATACTATTTCAATCGCAATTACGTAAAAAATGTTTCACACATTTTGAAACATGTGAAATATTCAGCCACACTACAGAGACTGAATTTCCCGTCAATTTTGCAATCGAAACTTTGAGTGCTTTGAAGATAAATTTTGATACTCGTTTTTCAGATTTTGATGTCATTGCGAATGAAATTAAGCTTTTTCAAAATCCTTTTGATTCTGACATTGAAACCCTGGCTCCGGAAGTCCAAATGGAAATTATTGATTTACGGTGCAGTGATATGCTTAAAAACAAATATAAAAATTCTTCTTTGTTGGAATTTTATAAGAGTCTTCCACTGAAACAATTTGATAATTTGCATGAATTTGCTCGTGGGTTGTTTTCTGTTTATGGTACTACTTACTTGTGTGAGAAAACGTTTTCCAAGATGAAGTACACAAAGAATGTTTACAGATCTCAATTAACCGATGAGCATCTTAAATCTCTTTTGATAATTGGTACAAGTAAAATTGATCCACAACTACAAAGTATTGTCGTTGGAAAATCACAATTACATAAATCTCATTAGTGTTTTTGTTTTACTGTGATTCATTTCAATTATTCGTTAGTTATTAATATGCTTAACAACAATTAGGTAATCATTGCGGGCCGGATTGATGACACTGGCGGGCCGCATTCGTCCCGCGGGCCGTAGTTTGGAGACCCCTGCAATAGTCGAATGCACATTTCTGTAGTAATATTAACACACCATTGCTTCAGTTTTCTTCAAATCCTAATGGGGTCTATTGAATGAAAATATATAAAGGTTAGAAATTAAAAAATCTCTCAGCTTTCTCACACCTGAACTAAAATACTGTCTTTCGTTGCACGTCTTCCTCAACCAACTACGCCAGATGTTTCTATCAAGCTTATTGATGGGTTTTTATTATGCAGCAACATACCTGGAGTATCTGTTGTTTCCCCTGTTTTGCTGGAGTTTCTAGTTTCATCAGCTGATACCAGCTGAAGTATTGGTATCAGAAACCAGAAGTGTATCCATCTTCTATTCCTGTTCCGCATGGTCTGAAACAAAATGAGAGATGCAACTTTCTGAAAGTACAATTTCTTTGGGAGTAACTAATATATTTGATTCAAACAATTTATTTCAATTCTCAGAGAATAAAATATCGTAATATTCAGTCTCAGATTATTTCAGTATTATCATTGTTTTATTTTGGATACTCGATTTTCAAAGTGATTATTTTCGAACGATTTTCAACGCATTAATCCCATAAAATTGGTCCAGTAAAATATCAAACGATTCTATTACTAGTTTGAAAAAGTGAGTGCTTTTATGCTTAAAGACAGGCAGTAAACAAATATAAAGAAATTAACTTTAAACGTTCAAGCCAGTCTCGGATATACCTACACAGTAAGTTGAATGGACTGACGCCTATCAGAAAACAACTACTCCACTGGCTAATACCACGAAGGGTGTTGGATTATATCCGAGAGGCGTCAGTGCAGGAATCTTCACAGAGAATTTCCTGCATATGCACATGGCAATACAACTGGAAAAGTCGGCCTTCAATTTTTGAACGGGCACACTTGCAAACCGATTTCGGGCTCCTTAGCGACTCGTCAGTGCAAGATAGTGACCATCATCGACCTAAAGTCAATGATATTCCTGTGAAGATTCCAGACCTTTAAAGTTCATTTCTTTATATTTAAAGATATAGTAAGCTCCTGATGAAAAGCCCCATATAAAAGGTTCACAAAACCACGACAAATGTGTAAAAAATATTGACTTTCCCACAGAAAAGTTTTCAAAGGAATATAATTGAAATTTTTTTCTAAAAAAATAGTTTTCATGAATAAATTCCAAGAAAAATTGGTTGCTTTCAAGTGAACAGGTATACCAGCCAATTGAGTTATCTGCTGTTTGTATTTGGTCATCTACTTTTTTGAATAATGAAAACTCTTGAGGAATTTTCCGTGACTAAAGCAAGTGGCAGAAAGTTTCTCTTATCAACCACTTTTTCATTCGAAATTCAATTTTATCAATGTGAAATTACGGGCTGCAATCAAAGATAAGTTTGCGACGAAGAGCGGAATATTATGTCAACAATTGTGCAATATGGCCACAAATTTATTTTTATCAAACCGCAAATGTTTTCCTGAGCTTTCATTCTTAAGTCATAAAGCGGGAAAACGCCAACAAAACCAGCTATACAGGGTGTAACTAAGTAAGTGTAAAACATTTAAGGAGGTGATTCCTCATCGAAAAAAAGATAGGATCTTCCATATAAAGAAACTTCATTGGAGGATCCATTGTTAAGATACAGCTCCTTAAAGGAGGTACATAAAATTTGTATAACAATTTTTTTCACAAGCACTAAAAAAGTTACAATATTGAAATTAACCTGACGTTTTGTACTACCAAAAAGACACTTAGCCAGTAATTTATTTGATTCACCCCATGGTTGTAAGGGGTGGAAAACGCAACCCCTAAAATGTATTTCCAATGTAACTTTTCGTCATATTATTTGTTTACCATTCAAAAATGTATTTCCGATAGCCTGTTTCATTCTAAACAAAACATGTTTCCTGGGTTTTTTTTCCAAAATAAACCAGTTCGCAGCAAAAAATTATTTTACGAACAACTACAGAGATACATCGTCATAAATGCGAAAATACGAAACTAATCTATCTAGTAGGTCGCTATTAGAGATAGTGACAATTGAATTGGTATGGCGCTGTCAGTTTGGGAATTTTGGAAATTGAATTATTACTAATTGTGTGTTGTTGTTCTGTTCTCAATTTGTTACTTTAATAATTCACTTGTAATTAAAATGGCATACACAAATGAGGAAATGACTGATATGCATTACGTTTACGTTCTGTCGCAGGGTAATGGGTTAGACGCTTCTAGAAGATATGCTGAAATGTATCCTCAACGGCAGTATCCTTCACATAGAATATTTGCTAGAATTCATCAACGAGTACGAGAATATGGTTCATTCGACAAAAGAACGCAGGATTGTGGTCGTCATCGAGAAGTACGAACACCACAGCTTGAGGAAGCAGTACTTAATTTGATTGAAGAACAACCTACTACCAGTACTAGAAAGATTTCTTTCCAGCTAAATGTTAATCATATGACGGTATTTCGAATTTTAAAGGAACAACTCTTATACCCTTACCATCTGCAACGAGTACAGGCACTGTTACCGCGAGACTTTCCGAAACGTCTTGAATTTTGCAATTGGATGCTGGAAATGATTAGAAGAAATTGTGACTTTCTGAAGACGATAGAATTCACAGACGAATGTAGTTTTTCTCGGGGCAAGACTATTAATTTTCATTATTACCACATACAGGCTGATGAAAACCCTCACGCTATTGTCGAAACTAATCATCAAGAACAGTTTTCTCTTAACGTGTGGCTCGGAGTTATTGGGGATGATTTAATTGGGCCTCGTTTTCTACCTCCTCGATTGAATGGTGAGGCATACGTTCAATTTTTAAGAGAAGTGCATCCAGTACTGCTGGAGAAAGTTCCTTTGGGCGTCAGAAGGGATAGGTTTCTATGCATGATGCAGCATTCAAAAGAAACATATGCAAATCAGTGGATAGGTCAAGGAAGACCACAGAACTGGTCCGCTCGATCCCCGGATCTCAATCCTCTCGATTTCTCTATTTGAGGCCAGTTACAGCATTTGGTTTATCGTACTCCTGTTCGCGATGTAGAAGACTTGAGAAACCGCATCATCGATGCGTGCAGGGTAATCAGAGAGATCCAGGAATATTTGAGCGAATACGTAGCTCAATGCGCCGACGTCTAGACGCATGCGTAATGTCTGAAGGTAGACATATTGAACATTCAATATGATTTCTACATGTTGTGTGTTTTGTTATTAATAAATTAGTTTTGTTTATCACCCTTTAATCGTTAAATGCAGGTACTAACTACAAAATAACAATAAATCCAGTTCGCATTTATGACGTAGTTGGTCGTAAAATAATTTTTTGCTGCGAACTGGTTCATTTTGGGTAAAAAACCAAGGAGACATTTTTGTTTAGAATAGAACAGGCTATCGGAAATGAATTTTTAAATGGTAAACAAATAATAAGACAAAAAGTTACATCGGAAATAAATTTTAGGGGTTGCTTTTTCCACCCCTTACAATCATGGGGTAAACCAAATAAATTACTGGCTAAGTGTCTTTTTGGTAGTACAAAACGTCAGGTTAATTTCAATATTGTAACTTTTTAAGTGCTTGTGAAAAAAATTGTTATACAAATTTTATGTACCCCCTTTAAGGGGCTGTATCTTAACAAGGGATTCTCCAATGGAGTTTCTTTATTTGAAGGATCCTATCTTTTTTTCGACGAGAAATCACCTCCTTAAATGTTTTACACTTATTCAGTTACACCCTGTATATCTCCAAAAATACTACATTGGCGATTCCCACAAAGTGCAGATAACGCGTAAAACTATCACGTCACATCATCACAACTTTTTTTCGGGAAGGTTAATTCTGTATAACTGGAAAGTGTCACTGAATTACAATAAATAACCACAAGTGGGAATATGATTAAACAAACCACAACTGTAGCAACCGCCAACTCCAATAAAGTATATAACTGCCACTAAAAGTCGTTCATTTGCAGTGGTAACCGCGAAATCTACCAGGGGTTCATCATGAAAGTGTTCTTTCACGTATTCATTTCACACCAGTTTCTTTGGTTGAACCCTGTTCTGGTTGAGGCTTTGTTTGAAGGAGATGCCTGTCAGATTGCAGGAACAAAAGGTGAATGCAAGAAAATTCCAAACTGCCCTTTCGCCATAGAAGCCATCCACACTCGTCCACATCTCATCAAAATATGTGACTTCGATGGTTTGACTGCAATTGTTTGTTGCCCTTCAATGAGTGGCATAATGCAGCCCAAATCTCCAGACGAAGGGATCCCAGTGAGGTTTAAAAACGAAAGAAAGTCTGAGAGAGCATGTAGAAGATTTTCGAAAGGAGTCAAGAGGAGAGGTATCGTGAGGTTCAACATTCTCGGAGGAACAGATGCTGATATTGATGAGTTTCCCCACATGGCGGCTCTGGGATATCGAGAAAGAGATGGGATAAGTTGGAACTGTGGAGCCACTCTGATTTCCGAACGTTTTCTTCTAACTGCCGCTCATTGTTTCATAGAAGACGTAGTTCCTTCGATAGTTCGTTTGGGAGTGACATTGCTGGATGACCCCTCTCGCAGGGACATCCCTATAAAGAAAGAGACACCTCATCCTCTGTATGATAAGGATACTAAACACCATGATATTTCGATTGTAGAACTCGTGGAGGGTATCCGGATATCCAAGAGAATTCGGCCAGCTTGTTTGTTCCAAAAGAATAACGATCCAGATGAACTCGTGATTACTGGTTGGGGAGTAACCACCAATGGCAGAAGCAACCACTTGCAGAAGGCGAATGTGATGGCCGTACCAGTCAAAACCTGTAACGATACTTATGTGCAAAGAACAATAGGGCTGAAAACCATCACATTGAAACAAATATGCGCGTGGGGAAACGCTAAACAAGATGCATGTTTGGGAGATTCTGGGGGTCCTATGCAGGTGACAGATTCGAGCGGAATGTATTCAATTGTCGGGGTAATTTCGTATGGCCAAAGCTGTGCTGGGCAAACCCCTAGTGTCTTTGTAAGGGTTTCTCAATATTTGGATTGGATAGAAGGTATTGTTTGGAAATGAAACATAATGCGAAAAAATTGTATTTCCTTTTGAATATACTATATAAAGAGTTTTTAGTGAGATATTTATATAAGTCAACTGTTTCGATGGAAAAACTTAAGGAGTTTGATGCCCAGTGTGTTTATACAGTGTCGTTGAATGTTTAGGTAGACTAATTGATTCACAATGTCTTTGTGATGTACTGTTTGGAACCTTTGGTGTAGTAATGAATATTACTGGAGTTTTTTCCCAACACCAAATCGTTATTTTTACACCTCGGCACGTGTTTCGATCACCAAGTGATCATCTTCAAGAGGAAGATAAAACTAACAACTACTCAAAACTAAAGCTTCTTATACTAATCAGGTACATCATACAGGTAGGTAATCAGTAATACCACCCATACATACAATTGGCCTTTCTCTTATTTTACAATATGTTCTTATGTATGTTTAAATGTTACAGCTATATATAGAACAATTTTCAGCTATATAAAATTAGTTTCACAATATTGCCTATCTAAATATATTTACAATGTGTCTTTTTGTAGTAATCAGTAAACCCAACAATATTATTTCAACAAGCTATATATTTGGTATTGGTCCGTTGTGGTTATTCATAATATTATTATGTTTACTTATTTCTACACTCTCATAGGCATCTAGTTGCCTGTTGTTGTTAACTTGTGTCTATGGAATGGTTTTGTTGCAAAATATGATGGGCGACTGCTGATTTTTCAGGTCTTCCATATTTTAAGTGTGCTATGTGTTCTTTATATCTCACTTTAATAGATCTTTTTGTCTGTCCATAATATTTTGCATCGCAGTCCTTACATTCAATTTCGTAAATTCCAGACTTTTCCGAATTCTCGACTTTGTCTTTTGGACTTCCCAAAAGGTTCTGCAGTGTATGACTTGTTTTAAAAACCACCTTCATACCTAGTTCCTTGAAAATTTCTCCAAAGTTCTTCGTATATTGGTGGTATGGAACTGAGATGTATTTATCTTGGTTTTTGTCCTTTTTGAAAGTCGAGATTTCGTTCACTCTTAACCTAAACTTCTTTTTCCTAATTATGTCATCTACAATACCCCTCGGGAAACCGTTAGTGGCTGCTATTTCCTGTATTGTACGTTTTTTTTTGCGAACCTATCATGTGTTAGAGGGAAAGTCAAAAGACGATGCACTAAAAAATTCAACCCAGCACGTTTGTGCTGTCCACAGTGATGTGAACTGTCAGGAATATACCTGTACGTGCTTGTTTCTTTTCTAAATATATCGTATTCTAACTCTCCATTTTTGCTCCTCGTTACCAAAACGTCAAGAAATGGTAGTTGTCCCTTATTTTCTACTTCATACGTGAATTTTATTGATGGACATCTATTATTTAAAAAGGAAACAAAGTCCTCGATATTTGATTTTTTGGTATCGAATACCGATTAAAATAATAGAAAGGCCAATTGTAAAATTAATTTAGGGTGCTACACTTGTATGGGTGGTATTACTGATTACCTACCTGTATAATGTACCTGATTAGTATAAGTAGCTTTAGTTTTGAGTAGTTGTTAGTTTTATCTTCCTCTTGAAGATGATCACTTGGTGATCGAAACACGTGTCGAGGTGTGAAAACGATTTGGTGTTGGGAAAAAACTCCAGTAATATTCACAATGTCTTGTAAGATAATTATGAAATAAATACGATTATACAGATGTTGAGGTAATCAATATTGAATTTATTTTTTCACTCACTTTAATGGATTCTGTTAGTATTAAATTGTGAATTTATTTCAAGAGTTTTATTTTTAATTACCCACTGGTGGAGTGACATTGTGTCTATTTAATGAATCGAATTTGATGTTGAGGTTTACGAAAGTTTAGCTGATTGATACATTTCAATCACGGATAATTATGTCGTATATATGGGTACGTTTTTGAATTTATCGACCGTCATTTGAATTCAGTCAAAATCTCCTCATCACCAGTTGCTGGTATCTCCCTTTGTAAGGGGGCCTCACTCCCTTCTAGGCCAGTGTGGCCAAGAATCCAGACCAGAGACAATTTGTTATGTCTCTCTATTGAGGAGAGTCGTGTTTGGCAATTTGCTACCAACTTAGACGTTGCTAGGTAGGAGCCAAGGGTTTCCAACGCCGCTTGCCTGTCGAAGAATATTTTTATTGACTTGTGTATAAGGTTGATTCTTCCAGTCTCTCTGCACACAATTGAATAGCGCAAACTTCCGCTTTAAATACTGTCACATAGGTTCCTAGGCAGGTTGATATCTCTGTCCTGGGTCTGCAATTGAAAACACCTACACCAGAACCTGAAGGTGTTTCTGATCCATCTGTGAACCAACAACTATGCTCTTAAAATTTCCTTCTCCCGGAGAATCCAGTCCTCTCTACTCTGGAAAAATACTGTATAAGGTAGTTCGTAGCTGACAGTTGAATGTCACAGCATGCTGTGACTTCCAGTGTCAACCAGCAGTCTAGTGTACTCTGCATTAGATTGATTTATGAAAATGATGATGTGCACAAGTCTATATGCAGTCCATCTAGCCTCTCTCTCCAGAAAAATGTGAAGAGGAGGTAGATCTAGAAGGATCTCCATGGCCACTGACGCTGTGGCAATGATGTCACCATGAATAGCCAGACAATCCTGTCTCTGTAAGCCAGAGACTTCGCCTGAGCCGTTTTCTGTAAAGCCTTCGGCCACCAAGCAATTGCTCCACAAGTGATCATTGGTCTTACAATCACCACATATACCTAGTAGATTTATTTGGGACCTGAACCCCAAGTTTTTGGCACTCCGCCACTGAATTTCCACCGATATCAGATGTTTTGTAAAGTTATAGTTAAAAGGCGAGACAAAGCATAAACACAAGCGAATTCGCGGACATTCGCGGCGTCCAATCCCGTCGATTTTCGGGTTAAAGCACTACAAGGTTAGGTCGGGTCAGATATATCGCTAAACACAAATCAAACTCGACTTGAGTTAACACGTCGAAGAATACGATTTATTCCTCTTCGACGGTGAACGGTATGTCTTTGTTTTTTTCCAGGCATTGGTTTATGAGTAACGTGTGTTATGCAATGAATACTATACCAAGTGGTATTACTATAGTAGCATCTTTTACCTCTAGGAAAAAAGGTAATTTATAAATTTGGTGATCATTAGCATTTTATGCCAAAACTTAATTAGGTAGATGATTAAATCTGGAAAAACAGAAAGAATTTGGAAATACAATTACAACACAGTTCTACTTCTAGGGAAACAGGTAATTTATAAATGATTAACTCTGGCAAAACAGAAAGATTTTAAAAAAACAATGACAATATAGTTTTACTTCTAGGAAAATAGGTAATTTATAAATTTGGTGATCATTAGCATTTTATGCCAAAACTTAATTAGGTAGACACAACACAGTTCTACTTCTAGGGAAACAGGTAACTTATAAATGATTAACTCTGGCAAAACAGAAAGATTAAAAAAAACAATCACAATATAGTTTTACTTCCAGGAAAATAGGTAATTTTCAAATTTGGTGATCATTAGCATTTTATGCCAAAACTTAATTAGGTAGACACAATACAGTTCTACTTCTAGGGAAACAGGTAATTTATAAATGATTAACTCTGGCAAAACAGAAAGATTGAAAAAAAACAATCACAATATAGTTTTACTTCTAGAAAAATAGGTAATTTATAAATTTGTTGATCATTAGCATTTCATACCAAAACTTAATTAGGTAGATGATTAAATCTGGAAAAACAGAAAGAATTTGGAAAAACAATCACAACACAGTTTTACTTCTAGAGAAACAGATAATTTATAAATATGTTGACCATTAGTATTTTATGACAAAATTCAATTAGATAGATGATTAAATCTGGCAAAATAGGAAGATTATGAAAAAACAATACAATACAGTTTTACTTCTAGGAAAACAGGTAATTTATAAATGACTAAATCTGGCATAACAGAGAGATTTTGTAAAAATAATTACAATACAGTTTCACTTCTAGGAGATCGTGTAATTTATTACAATACAGTTTCACTTATAGGGAAACGTGTAATTTATAATTGATTAAATCAGGTAGAACAGAAGATTTTCAGAAAAGAAATTACAATACAGTTTTACTTCTAGAAAAACAGGTAATTTATAAATATGTTTAACAATGGTGAGTGAATAACTTATTGTTGTTCGTTGAAAAGAAAATTTGAATGTTTGTTTTAATCAATTTTCAGAGATTTCAGTAGGTTAATTATAATAGTTTTCCACTATGTATTCCTGTCTTCTTCCGAGTGAACAGCTCTCCAAGAAAATTGAGGTTAATACCACGGAATGAATAAATCAGTAGTGATACGGTCTGAAACCAATTTTGAAAAGGCCTTTTCACCTCGGGCTGAACACTTGCGGACACAGAAACGTATCCATTATCTACTTTATATGCTATTGTCATCATTATTCGTTATTAAATAAAGGGGCAGGCCAGTTAGTTTTTCCTGAAGATGCGGTCACTTTCTATAACCAATTACAAGTCGATATTAACGCTTTTTGTTACGACAAATACACATAAAGCTCATATGAATGTTTAGGTATGTGTATATTGGAGTCGTTTTCTGGGATTGGCAGAATTTATTATGGGAACATTCATTCAAGTTAGTTGTGGCCGCGGGCAGTCTGAAGCGATGAAGTAATACCATGAGTCAATAGTATGGTAATCTGGAGATATGAGTGATCGCTATATTGTACAGATGAGTTGAAAACGATCGGATATCGAATATATAAAACATCATACAGTGCTAGTCAAAAGTCCCCTCCCCCCCTCGTATCTTTGGAACGGGTATACTTATAATAATGAAATTTGAAGGGTGGAAATAAACGGATCTAGGCTTCTTAACTGGTCATAACAGGTGACGCAATAGTCATAAATGACGTCACAAGGCCACTGTGACCAAAAATTTTAAATGGGACCCTATGGCAAGTGACAGCTCGTTTGAAAGGTATTGAAAATACCTATTCAGTCATACCAATTTTGTTTGGGTTTCGGCTGATTTTGATTGATAAATTGAAGAAATACGAAAATTATTGTTTCGCATTTAATTGATAAAGATTTTAAAGTACCCCTCTGGTTCATTGTCAAAAGTGTTTATACTTTGAAAATTTACCTAAGCTATTGTTTAACGAGACGTTTAAGTGTTTACATAGGCAAAATGGTACGTACTGTAGCCGACAAAGT